TAATACAACATTAATTGAGTAATAAAATGAATATATGCAATAAATAATCACTCACTTCCTCTCAAGTGGTGAGTTAGCTTAGGTTCCCATACTGGTGCAGTTATTAGTTATTCATTGGAATTTTGCATTAGGATTTTGCTTTAGTTTTGGAATTTGCCTTTACAGTAATAATTTTACTTCCTTGTCTGGACTAGAGAAGAAAAACAGAAAAATTACATTATGAGAAAAACACAGCACAGACATTAAATAAACGAGCATGAAAGCCAAAGGGTTAACCTAAAAAGCAATATAGCTCCCCCTGCAACACCATTGTGAGTTTTTGAATGTCTCATGTCTTTTAGAAAATGTTCTTTAGAAATTATTTTCTTTTTATAAACCAAAGAGTGCTTAGTCGTGAGACATGTGGTGAATTAAAATCAGAATTTTAATCCCAAAAATTTGTGTACGGGTATTGAGAATTTATAATTAGATGCAATAAGTATTTGGAGATAAATACAATGCAAAATTGATGATCAGTTATTAGAATCAGAAACATGATTTACAACAGTTTCTCAATTTATTAGACCAGCACCTAAACAAGTAAGCAGAGATCTTTGTGATTTTAATGCTAAATGTTTGCCAATGTTATATTGACCAATCGGAGGCAGAACATTGCAACACTTTTGTGAATAATCAACGCTCAGGTTGGTTGGCACCTGTTTCTATAGCTGCAGCCGGTAATGAAGCATTGTGGGAATGAAGATAAAATTGTTGTCCATACATACCAAAATAAATGACAATTAATAAATCTGGTAAGTATTTTGAGTTCCGTTTATATATGATAATAGAAATGTTTCAACTATTTTAGAATCTGTTCTTGAATGCACTTGTGAAAACTAATCTTATAGTCAATGGAGTCTGTCTTTGAAACAACAAAATACTTAGATTTAATATATTTAGGAGAGTGAGAACATCAAAAGAGTTTTTAGAAAAAATTTGTTTCTTGGTATAAAGGTCCAAATATATTCTAAATCTGCATCAGAAATTATGCAATTGTTGATTAACTTGAACTAAATATGCATCAGGTATATATATCAAAGGCTTCAACGCTACAACATAGGTACATTCCAGTTTACTACTACATCACTTGAAGAGATCACCAGGGATGCCTGAAAATTTACAAGTAATGTTCCTAATATGAGATAGTTGGCAAGTGGTTATTGATATGCACTGCCACATTGCCAACCCTAATCCAGAAAGAATTAGATTTAGATCAGTACCAGTGCTCACTGCAGTGAGTGACAGAGAGCACCTTGTCCCACATCTGTCATGGACGGAAGGACATGACAAGCACAGTAGCACCTTTTTTTCCATAAATGAGAAAATGTGCTAAAAATTCAGTTGCAGGAGTGCTTTCATTGTACAAACTTAATGTGATTTTGCACCCTCAAATAGCTTTTGCAGCGTGCATCATGTTGAATTCTTATTGGTTGATTTGTTATTAATTCATGAATGTTAATTTGTTGTTTGACTTGAGGACAAATTGTTAATGAACAATTAGTTTGTCTAATTGAAATCTTAGTGTTGAAACCTTTATCCTTGACTCTTTCAAGTGCAAATTTAATCCCTCCTATTTTTATCCTTCCTATCTTAACTAAAAGTTTTGGAACAAAAAAGTGGAGGACCTGGGGCAGAAATAATATATGAACATTCATTTTTAGAATTCCATCCTTGTTCCGAGGCTGCAGAGTTTGGTGAATGCATTGCCAATTTTTGCATTTTGCCAATACCAAAAACGTCACCGACAGTACACAGGATGCATTGCTGAGTCTTCAAGATGCGTTACAGGCAGTCTTCAAGATGTGTTGCAAAAGATAATTTTCTTCAAAAATTTTACATAACCTATTTAGATGAGTGTATCTTCAACACCCCAGGTATTGCAGTAGACAACTGCATTACAACTGAAATTACTGAATTGTGGATTGTGCTTTGCAGACTTGTCTGACCAACCAAAAATTTTAAAAATGATGCAGCCACTGGTGTACTTCCTGTTTGGCGATTAGTATTGCCAAAGATTTGAGTAGTACATCTAAAATGCAATTATCTTAATCCAAATGTGTTGGCAAGATCTTCTGAAGGTGTAAATTTTCCCGCTGATGTGTCACCAAAGATCTTCAGATATTCACCTACTTTCTGCACTCTGGCACAGTTCCAAGAAGAGTAGGAATTTTCCAACCATCTAAGGATTGAAACTTTCCTACTTATGACTGAAAGTGACAAATATTCAATACATTTGGAAAACATTTTCCACACTAGCACAGATGTATCCAAATTTTTTCAATTTTGGGTGGAAATTTATAAAACTAGAAGTTGAAAGATCATTTCAGTGGTGGTTTTTGAAAATGCTAGGCAAACTTCTGAAGATTTTATTGATTTTTACCAGAAAAATGTGTAATGACCATTGAAACAAGTAAAATTTACTGCAAGAGTAGGTGCTTTCCCTTACATTCATGGGTGGTTTATGGCCAATTTTCCACTTAGGCATGAAATCAATCTAGAATATTTGGCAAAACTATCTGGGATAAATTGTGGGTAGAAGATTGTTTCATGTGATACTGCTGACAAATTTGCTCTATTACAACACTTCTCTTTAACTTCACACTTCTTGTTGTTTGTCTGCTACAAATCTTGTAATAAAAATTTAATACACTTCTACTTATTCTATCGATCTGAAATTTTGCACACTTGTGTAAATTTGGAAACCATGCATGAATCAAATGTCAAAATAAATGATTTTGAAAATTAATTTTTTTTAATATTGAAAAAATTGGAAAAATAATTTTGTCAGCTACAAATCTTATAACGGATATTTGACACGCTTCTACCTCTCTAATTGATCAGAAACTTTGCACACTTGTGTGAAGTCAGAGGCAATGCATGAATCAATTAACAGAATAAATCATGAAAAAAAGTTATGTATTAAAAAATTTTTATACCGTCAACCTGGGCTACTCGGGACGGGCGGGGCAACTTGGGACAGTCCTCCGACACGGCATAAAACTGTTTTAGTAGCAAAACTAATTGGAATATTGCAAAACTAATATAGTGGCGTTAACATCAACATTTTTCCTATGTAGGTACCTATGTAGTATAAAGTGTAATGAAGTCTGTATACTTCATCGGGGTTCGTTTCGCTGACTCGGATACTATAAACATTTAGGAACACCAACAATTTAATAGAACAAAACACGAATCAAAGTTTACATCAAGGGATAACGCCATACATTAATAAATCTGACACCTTAGCTGCTCAATCTACAGATTCAACAGGGAACATCTGTGAATTCCTAAAACAAGGTAGTCTGCAGGGCTTCTCCGATCCTCAAGGAAAGAGTCGGTCCCCGTGGTGATCGTTAAGCACGTAAAGCTCTAAGGACAAGCTTGGAGAGCGTCACCTTGAGTCCAGTCCACACGAGATCAGCAGCAACCCAATAAAGGCAGGGTAGGTTAACTTGAACCACAGCGAGTTAAGGCGTAATGGTTATCGTCAACCATGCCTAGAAATGGGTTGTTCACTGGAGGACTGCTGGGTAACGACTAGTCTAAGGTCCGGTCTATCACTCTTGTCGAGTGTTTCCAACTGATGCCTTCTAGAATTCAATTTACAACCTTACATAAAGGAAGTTCACAAATACTACATTTACTAGCTCTGAAAAATTCTTGAAAAAAATAGTGAAAAACAATATTTTGAAAAGTTACTTCTGCTAAGGTCTGTAGTAAAGAAAATATTTGCCGTATTAAAAAATTTTGCTTAGAAAAAAGTGGCAGACAAGTGTCAGCATGAAAACCTTTTTTGCAGAATTTACATACCTCAATAAAAAAATGGTGGCCATTTCCGCACATCTGGGCTACTCAGGACACCCCCCTGGGGCTATTCGGGACACCCCCAAAAACGCATTTACAGTAGAACCTCAGTTAGCAAAGACTCCAGTTAAGAAAAAAAAATTGATTAAAACAAAGAATATTGATTACATTTACCTCGCTCGGCAAAAAAAATTTCACTCATCGAAAAATTAGTGCATCATCAGTCATCACAAAATTGTGCATAGAATGTCTATATAGAATTGTGCACCAGGCATCATAGAATGAAAAGTAATTGACTTAAACTATGATTTATTTCTCCAAAACATATAATGGTTGTCACTGAAACATTCCTTTCTGTTTCAGGTATGTTTTTCACTATCTTTTTTTATAGTAAATTCACTTAACCCAATTAAAATGGTGTGAAATTACAAGCCGTCCTGTAAGCTTACAGATACAGAAAAAATGCTATAAGGCTGCTGATATGAAGTTTGCACTTTGCATGCTTTCAAATGTTTTAAAATTGAGTTTTATTCCAAGTGTCCCGAGTAGCCCCGTTGAACAGGGCTACTTGGGACAATCTTTTTTGCTTCTGGCACCTTACAAATAGCATATGGAATTTTCTTGGAGAAGCTGTGTGATAGCCCTTGCAAAGAGCTTTGAAATGAGCCTTAACTTGTTTATGAAATGTTTCATGGTAAGAAGTTATGAATGAAAAACGTTCGAAATCATCCCGAGTAGCCCCAGTTGACAGTACTAATAAAAATTGGCCTAATACCCTTTTCTTATTAATACCATTCCTGTTATATAACCTTATATGCTTAGGAATAAACTTCAATTAGTAATGCCTAATTGCTATGCTCATTAGTATATTTGAATATACTGCACTATACAGGAATATTTTGTTTGTAATAAAACAGCAATAAAACTTGATGAGAAATCTTTCTAAATATCAAAAACTATTGTCTAAAATAAAAATTTATGTTCATCACTCTTATCACAATCACAAAAGAATTTCATTGCCCGCATGGACCTTATCACTTGGATATTTATTATCCCTGTTAATTAGATGTTACTTAGTGCTGTGTTAGGTTAATCATTGCTGTTTTATGGTTCTCAATTTTTCTGATGCTTATACTAACTTTATAATGTTTGAGCAGTTGCAGCCCCAAGTGAACCTTCTATACCCAAAATGAAGAAGCAGGACATGACATTAACACAGCTACGTCAGTATGACGGCACTGGTGAAGGAAAGAGAGTATGTGTGGCTGTCAATGGCAAAATTTTTGATATGACTCGCAGCTCACACTTCTATGGCCCAGGTATTCAAAAGTCAGATATTCAATTTTCTAATAGTTCATTGGTATTTCCAAAATCTTCACAAATGTCAAATACCTGTATATATAATTGATTTGAATATAAATGAAGGTAATATTTCATTAACTACAATTCAATATAGATCATCACTGAAATACATTGATTCCAAAGTAGGCAATCCTTATGATCTTTAACCTATATTTCAAAATGGTTTTAAAATCTTAAAGAATAATTTTCAGTAGGCATGAAGATTATACCTATATCAGTTAATTAAGCTTTAGCTGGCTTTATAAAAATAGCCCTCATCTCAGGTGGAGTATACTCTGCATTTGCTGGCCATGATGCCACACATGCTCTAGCCTCCTTCAACATTGACGACATCAAGAATGAAAGCAGCGACTTGAGCGACCTGACGCCTGCACAGATGGACTCAGTCAGAGAGTGGGAGATGCAGTTTACTGGTGAGCCTATTATTACTCTGCTTGTCCTGCCCTTGTGGCTTTTTAATATGCGTATTGAATAGTTATTTGCTTTTTACTTTTTTCATTCATTTCAGCTTGGTTTTGATAACTTGATTGTTTGGTGTCTTATGTAAATTATGGAGTTGATTAATTTTATTCAAATAATTTTATTTATTTTCATGCTGTCTTATTCCAAAAACCTATTTGTATACATTTATCAGTGGAATAAACATTTATTTTTTGCATTGAAATAGTAGTTATAAATTTTACTAACTTTACAGAGAAGTATGACTACATTGGACGTCTCATCAAAGAAGGGGAAACGCCAACTGAATATTCGGACGAGGAAGATGCAAAAGAAAGTACGCCAGATGTTGCGGTTGACTCAGCAGCTCGGCTGAGACCGGCTGCAGCAGCTACCGTGCAAAACATGGCCACGGAGAAGGGCAGCGGTGCTGATGAAGAGAAAACTGTTGGTGATGATGAAGTGAAAGATGTTGGCAGCAAAAAAAGTGAATAGTTCTCTTGTGTATTCCAATTAGTTTTGTATGTATGTTTCTATTGGATATATCATGTGCAAGTTTAAATTTTTTTTTCGTTAGGTATGAAACTATGCAGTAAAATCTTTTATGAAAATTAGACAAAAGGGGACAAATATTGCGTGAACGTGTTTGTACCTAAACCTAATACAATTAGATAGATCGACCCTAAGCTTGAGAATGAATTTGAATAATCGAAGCTAGTAAAAAAAACATTGCCAAAAACTATCCTTGAAATGTTCATTAATAAATACCGTACCTTAATTTTAAATTTCCTGAAAGTATAAAGGTGCTTTTTTGAGAGATAATGTGAACTACTGATCATTTATTTGATATGCCTAAATTAGTTACAAGATTAATTGTAATACGTATATAATTGACTTAGTCAATAGTCAATTATATAGCCTTAAACATTTTTAATAAATTTATTTGATAATAACATTTAAGTTGCTTGTTGCGAAAGTAATTAGATTTACTATGTTTGTTAATGAAGTTGCTTTGTTTTCCTTGGCTTGCTTTCTGTAGTCAACCATCTGGAGTCTCTTCATGTTTCATTGATGTGTTTTGCGTGCAACTCTAATCTTGAGCTCATTGCTTAACCTGATTCGAACCTTAATCAGAAAATGTTATCACAAATTAGGCCATCATTTGATTTCTTTGGACTAGTCTGGTCTGCAAATCCAGTTTTCTTTCACCAGTGCCACTTTTTGCTATTTATAGGTTTTACAATCTTTCCTTTTTTATACATTGCAGGTTAGTAAATTGACGAAAATATTTCTATCTCCATTTTAAGTGAATGTTTTTCATTTCTATAGTAGAGATTGGCATAAGTAGTTTCTTGACTTCGTTTCGTACCAGCTTACAGTTTTCTCTAAGAAGTCAGTGCCTTCCTCATAGTTGCAGAATCTGTCTCTAATGAGACCTGAGAGCTGTGTTGATGTGGTTCAGCACTGTCATATAATATTAATCGTACTAACCACACTGAGTTAAATTTTGTGGAATCCGCCTGTATTTGTGAACATATTCACCGAATTGTGCAAAAGCGAACTGATCTGCTGACCTCTGAGTGTAATTTATTGAATTCTATAAAATATGTTCGATGTTTCATAAACTTCACTTTTGGGCATTCGTTGTGATGTCTCGGACTGTTCGTCTTGTTGTTTTCTAGTTTGGCGGGTTAATGAAGTCCCCAGATTTCTGCTAGCCTATTCTTGTTGGCTATAAACTTTACTAAAAATTTATTGCTTCTCTTAATCGCTCGTGTTTATACAGGCCATTTTTTGGTAGCTAGATTCATTCGGTTTTGATCACACTGTATATTAGTCACAATTTGAAATTTCTAATTAATTTTATATTTTCTCTTTATTAAATATCAAGTAAGATTATTTGATAAACTCGTTAAGATTTAGCATGATTTGACTTGCTTATCACTGAGTAGTCATTATTTTGCGATTAAGATATACCGTGTCAGATACACAGTTGCTATTAACGAGAGTAATGAATATTTTTTGAATTTATTTGCGTTTCCAAAGGGTTTACTTGTTACAACTCTTGCATTGATTTGTGTTGATGTCGACAGAAAGTAATACTTGAGTTGGTGTCTTGAAATTGGTAGCAGCTCTCGTTAAGATGTGGAAATAACAGTTAAGTAGGTTTCAGTTACTGAATTCGTAAGATCGATCTTTTCCTATACCCGTGTATGACACGGATGTCAGTGTTGCTCTTGCCCGCACATTGAACACGTTTTTGCTGTATGTTTTGCTTTTGTTGATGCGCTGGTAAGAACATCGATCGCATTGTTTTTTTTAACTTTATTGTAACGGTCATTGGAATTCTATTAACCACTGCGTGTTTGGCAAGTTAGACGTACATGATGCAAACGGTTTTTTACCCAATATATATCATATTCAATTTTTTGTTATAAAAGTTTTGCAATTTTCATAATGAAATCAGTGGCCGAGTTCACTAGCACTTCACGGCTTCGTTGATATCTCCCAACAGTGAAGCCTACTTGCCAGCGTTGGTACCGCGCTTCTCAATCATGTCCACTGAATATCACCTATCACCTGAATATATCACCTATGATATTTTGGCTATTTTAAAGCTGGTGACCTCCAAACACCATAATCTAACGTCTGCCTTCAAAAATGCTTTGTTTGCTCAGAGCGCAACCTCAGTACACTAAGCGAACTAATTATTCGCGTTTACGATTTGGTTCTCATTTACGATTATTGTTTACGATCGGTCTGATGTATAATTTGTATTGTAATTTTGAAACCACGTACATGACAGCTGCCGAATGACATTTATTTCTCTCTCAACGTCAATAGTTAGTATAATAAACGCGCTGCTAAATCATTGCTGATTTCAACTCAGTGTAATATCAAGGGTTCTCGCTTAGTCATTTTCGGTACGCTAAATCTTCAGTTGGTACGCAAGTTTCCTACTGATAACGGAGGAAGGACGAAGGATCAATTGTATTTTGCGTAGGTGCTAAACGTTTTCTACTGTCTATTTTTATACGAATATCTCGTGAAAATAGGCTTTAGTTAGTTTGGCGGGAGTGGAGGAGGCCACCTGTTTTCCCCCCGACGACTGTTTTCTTTATCCTCCGATTACCAACTGTTGACCTCCGATACTATTGTCCCTCCTATTTTCGTTAAAACGGTCAGGAATCTAATTGTTCTATCACGCACGCATGCGATCAATGTAGAAACGTGAATAAACTTGACGTTTTTTGCATTGTTAATGTTTCACCTTTGGTTCAGAATTTATCAAGTATCAAGGCTGTTCTGCCAACTGCAAATTCTCGTGCTTGTAAAGTTTTTGAGGATTGGGTCGTACGTGGATAAATTGGGCCTGGATTAGATATCGATAGATAGGTTTGAAAAAATCTATTTCCCTGCTGTGAAAAGATATCGTTGAGTTAAAAATAGTTTAATTTCCTTTTAATCCAAGGCGTCATTAGGTTGTAAGGACAGGAGTACTAAGCCCTCGAAGAATTATGATATAAATTGAGGTGACAATGACTGATTGCATGATTATCAGTTTATTTCAAATTCATATTATGCTCAAATCATTATATTTAATGAGGAAATGCTGAGGTGATTTCGATTCGGGTGGTACATGATTATCACTCACCTCAAACTTGCAAATTTTTCTCCCTTGTGCACTGAACATGAATCTTGTTCTATAGCACATCAACACCTGTACGAAGTATCCGAATCCTTGCCGGACACCTGTGGTCGACGGGTGTTGCGTTGACGTGACCACTTCAGTACCTCGGATGCCGAAAAGTCTAATAAACTATCAGCCCAAACCGAAGAAGAGCAACCGGCTGAGTTAAACGTGAATTCCAAGATTTTGGTAAATGGTTGCTTTTTGAGTGACCGCAGTCTGGAATAATTCATGATTGTTCATTCATATTTTACAACATAAACAAATCTACATTCAAATTTTCTGGTTCTTTCGGCGATTTTTTATCGTGGGCAGAAATAACTTCTCGGAGCGTGAACATCATTGAGATTAGAACAGAAATATAAAACGTGAATTTAATCTAGCTCGTAACATTCATCATGAGAGGAACGATGTGCTCATCGCTCGCGCTATTTTGGAACCTACAGCTGTACAAGAAATGGCGTTAAGTAAATGATGCTCTAAAGTACCGCAGACTTTTGTACGCTTGCTTGATTTTATGTATGCACGTCTATGAGGGAATCTCAAATAATGCAATGCGCTCGACTACTGAAGCTCCCACGAATTTTGACAATAATACATACAGGGATATGTTAAGAGCAGAGTGCGCTATTCCCGTATTGATATTTCACATTACAGTGATTATTTCCTTGTTATGCGTGCTTCAAATCCTCGCTGTTTATTCGTAACTTCCTTTTCACATAAGCCCTTTCTCTCTCCTTCGGGACATGAAGAAAAAAATGTAACTTTTATGTTCGCAATTAATAGTTTAGACTACATTTTTCGGTTGGCGCTATAATGCCGTGCAACTTCGTCCAAATCCAGAAAGACTGCATTCGGGAACTTTGTGCTCAGTTCAACTTTAAATTCGAAACCTGCTACCGGGAACGAGCGTACAGTCATTGTCTAAAATTCCATACGACTTAAATATATAATGATCAAAGTGTTAAAATCACTTGGCTGCTTAAGCCGCAAATTTACCAGGAATTTAAAAGTAAAGGAAATAGCCAAAAAGTTCACCATTTCTTATAAGAGAAAACGTTTCGGAGTCCAGCTCCGTCGTCGTCAGTTCAAAACCTAGAACTCAGGCACAAACAATTAGCAGCCTAAAATTTACATTCAAACAATTCACCTAAACTTGAGGACATTAGAACTAAAATCGAAAATAACAGAAATAAAAATGAGATAACATGTAGAGAAAGTACTATCTATTTACAATTTGTAGAGGATAGGAACTGAATGCAGCATTTAAACTGGGTTTCTGTTTAAAAATATATAATGATTCTAAAATTCGTAGGCCAGAAACACCGGCTGTTGAGGCCAAAACTCTAAAATCACAATCGGACTGGACGTTGCACTGCTCGGCATGAATACGTACGGCTGAATGAGGCGGATGCGCATGTATGTTCCCTGTTATACAGTGGGGGGAAATAAATATTCGTACACTTGAAAAATCGTATTTTAATGTATGTAAGTACACAAACTTAACAGGAAAAGTGATTTAAATTATGTATAGAGACGCATAGTTTCAAACATACTATCAAAAGAAATTAAATCTCAATGCAACAAAAAACAATGCAACATGTTCACTTTTCGGGTGAAATAAGTATTCGTACAAAACAATAAATCCGCATTATTTTAATTTAATACTTGGTTGAATACCCTTTATTCAGCTCAACAGATACCAGTCTATTTCTATACGTCTCGACCCTGTCTCTTATACACATCTAGATGTGTATAAGAGACAGCCCCAAAAAACATATAATTAAAAAAAAAAACACCCTTTTTTTTGGATGTAGTTAATCTGCAATAATACCAAATACGATTTTTCAAATATACGAATATTTATTTCCCCCCACTGTATAACTTCTTTGTACCTGTGTTCTAGGTTTTGAACTGACGACGATGGAGCAGGACTCCGAAACGTTTTCTCTTATAAGAAATGGTGAACTTTTTGGCTATTTTCTTTACGTTTAAATTCATGATCAAAGTGACACTGAAGGAAGAAAATTTCCCGCCTGACACCGATAATAATCAAAAGTTCTCCAACATACAAATCTGCTGCTGTGGCAAGCCGAGGATCGTAGCGATGGCCCACAGTTTCCCAGCAAGAGCAAAT